GCAAGTGTTACTGTTCACAAGAAACTTATATGGCTTCAGTTGAGAGGAATCCTTCTTTAAGTATTGGGTGCACAACCTATAATGAAAATGTCTCATTTGACTACCTTGACATCCTCGACGTCTTTTTGTTACACTGTTGCCTATGCCGCATTTGGTAATGATCTGAGCTCTGACTTTTGCATAGACACTAATCGCAATTCATGACGAGCCTTCCACAGTGTGCTGGAAACTTTACAAGCCACTCCTCCAGGATTGAATTAGACGCTGTCAATTCTTACATGTCCTTTTTTGAGAGCAAACCGAGTCGTTCTAGGAATTAAGTGCCCGTGCTTAACAGGGCATGGCCAATTTCTCCCCTTCACACTGCACACATTGTGTGATTAGCTCACTGCGGCCACACGACCTTATATAGAGCACGAATGAAATAACTGAAATATTATCAGAAAGCACATGAAAGTGCTACAAGCCAATGTGACGAAGAGAAGCCACCCATGTATTCAAAGAAGTCCATCCCTCACGAATCGACTCAAAAGGCTCGTGACGCTTCTTTCAGTGCGATTCTGCCACCGACATCATCTTCAGCGGCTGTTCTTCTAAAACGTTTCTGATGCCGGCAATCGCTTTTGTCGTCGTTACCACGACCTATTCGTGTATGAATATGGAAGCACCAGTTCATTGACTGAAACTGTTTTGATGTCAGCCAATGAGGCAAAGCGCTTTATGCAGGAGGATCTAATTTGTGATCATGCTCAATGTTTCAGCATCGACCAGTCCACTTTTTTAAACTTTAAGTCATTCATAATTGTATTCCAAAGCAGTATACATAAATATCCAATGTAGAAATTTTTATAGTATAATTACAGAATACCTCCAGAAGAAACGCCAGGAGATCTCGCTCGGATAGGATCATGTAAGTATTACTCTCTTAAGCTTTGTTATTTCGGCGCTCATTTTAAGTCCAAAATTCTTCCAGTATAGCACTACCCTTCATTTCCCAAAACATGGCCATAGTTACTACATCGGTAATATCAAATCCGAAAGCCTTGCAAAACGAGCTTGATTTAGGCCTGATACCAAACTTTCAACTTTCTAGTGTTCATCCTTAAGTTTTGGCACTATCTCGCAAAGCACTTCTAAACAGAAGATAAAAGGAATCATCCGTCGTAGCCCTGAGTTGGCTCGATAAACCAACTGCTTGTCTTTGAGAATTTCCCTTATGGATAAGGGAAAACAGTGTAGAAGGTCGACAACTGTGGAGAGTACGGTGGGTGAGATGACAGGCACTGGGTATGACGAGATTATGTTGCCGTGTTTGGCATTTCTGGAAGATCGCATCAGTCACATTTTGCTAGGAGAACAAAGGTATTGCGTATTTTTTGTCTCGGCTATTTTGCGAATAATTCAAAAGGAGTCTCTCCAGAATTCCAGAAAATCAAGCGCCTAGCGATAAATTTACGTTGAGGCATGGTTTCCGTGGTTGTGATAGCCGCATTCGATCTGTGCTTGGAATAAGCGAGGGCACAAAGTCGAGAATGTGTACTGTAAGTGTACGCAAAACTTCAAAGGACCCAACCTGTATTATTTGAATGAACAATACAAATACACACTAGTAACGCACCAGTACGCAGCTAGTAGTACTATTAGGTTGTCGGAAAAGTCTTTGGCCATTTGTCGATTTTTTTTTCAAATCCACTTTTCTTCTTTAGCCCAGTGAGCAATTTACAATCATATGCCCCATCATAATCGTCAACATATTGCCTTTCAGCAGGTAACTTGTGGATGCCGTTTGCCTAGAAATCCTGAGCTTTCAAGGCAAAAAACTGGAAGAAGTCCGTTTTGAACATAAAGCTCTCCCTCTTTTAGTTGAATCAGCAGCAACAGAAGCAGACGGTATTCTGTTGGGGCCAGATCTGCTGAACACAAATGGCGAGACAGAACATCCCATAAGGGGCTTGGAGACTTTTGCTGGACCTTCTTCAAAATTCCTTGACGGTCGTTGCCTGGATGAAGTGAACTTTGCAATGTTTTCCAAGCATAGTGCCGGAGAACCCATCCGCTTGCCCACATTATCGTTCTACAACAGCAGTGCAGTTCCTTGGTAGGAGCTGTCGGCGAACGGAGTGCTTGCAGCTTTACCAACATTGCAACGTTGCTTCCCAGGTTGCAGTGCTGGAATCGCCCGGAATCTTGGTCACGCTTCTGCGCCAGTGGCGCTCCTCCACGTGGTTATACTACTCCTTGCCACACAAAACAAAGAGTCGTCAAGCGATACGGCACGGTAATCGCAATTTCAAGCAAAACCTAAGGCTCGGAGCGGCTACTCAACCCATTCACAAATTTCTATTGCCATAATTGTCACCTTCTTGAAGGATCATGCGGATGCTTTTGCGTCTTAACCGTGAAACCTCGTGTTAGCTACCTGTGGTGCATTACACCAGAGACTGTTTTTTTTCAAACAACCTCATTTCACAACAAGACTCTTTTCGAGTTTCTGGACATCTTGGCACCAATTGTCTATTCCGGAAGACACTCTTGAGCAATCTCTGCAGATAAGGTCATTTGCATAAAGCATGCTTCACGACCACTTTTCTTGCTTTTAAATCAGAGTAGCACAGTGCATCAAACCGATTTTCATCACCTAATCCGCTGCAAAATCCACGCAGCAAATATGCTCTGAAAGATCCCTTTATAGAGTTTACCATTCACAAAGATGTTTAAGAATTATCTTGAATTTTACTACAGGGGGGGGCTGGGGCAAAATTACTGGTGCACTAAATTTTCAATGGCATTTTGACAATAATTCTCACAAATCAATTCTAATTATCAATATTATTTACTACAAACATGACAATACAAAAAATGTTAATGCTTCTCAAAATGATCTCCTTTAGCCTTCACACAGTCCTTCAGACGTTCGACAAATGCTTCGCATGTGGCACGCAGGTACTGGTCATCGATTTCGTCCCAAGATTTTGAAAGCGCCGCCTTAAGAGAGTCCAAGTTTGGATGTCTGGTAGAACACGCTTTGCTCTCCAAGATGGACCACACAGAGTAATCCATCGTCAGATCAGAAAAACTGAACCTCCTCGCGTGCGATGAATCGACAGGTCTCGGCGCACCACTCCTAGACCATCTTTGCTTTGTGTGCTGGAGCAGAATCCTGCTGGAAGCACCAGTGGGCTTCTCCGAAATGGAAGTTGGCCCACGGCTTGAGAACTTCCTCCAGGATTTTTGTAAACCTCTGCGTTGATTTTACACCAGCTCCAACGACAACAAGTGGGGTCTTCCCCGTAGAGGTGACTCCTCCCCAAACAAGAATGGACTGGGGGTGTTTCGCTCTTTCCTGAAGCCTTGCCTTGGTGTAGCAATCAGACAAGTGATCTGCAATATCCTCCCATTTTGGAGTAAGGCGATTCCAGAGTGGAAAATCTTTCATCACTGAACACGAATTCTCGCGAAGAACCGCGCAACTTCTTGCATCTCTCCAATCTCCTTTTCTTCATAATGTCCGTCAGGAGTTGGCATTTCTGCAAGCGATAGGGGAACTTCTGACAATCCTCCTCATTGACCTCGCGCTTACTCCAACGTCTTTCGCCATCTGGCGCATCGATCTCCTGGCGTTCCTTCGAATTCTTTCTCTGACGAGCCTCACATTTCTCCGACTCGTAGCTGTTGTGGGACGTCCTCTTCCTTCCCTGTCCTCTTCGGTCTTCAGTTCTTTATAGCGTCGTACTGTATTCTGAACCGTCCTTCGAGGTACGGAAAGGATCTTCACAATTTCTCTTGTTTGCTTGCCGTCGTTGTGAAGTTTGATGATCGCGCTCCGTAGGTCAGAACGACGGACCATTTTGTATTCGAGTACGTAGGAATTACGCAACCTCCAGGCAACATATCACAAGCGAGTGAAACAGGAAAATCTCCAAGAAGTGTTAAAAAATTCAAAACGTATAGGTGCACCAGTAATTTTGCCCCACCCTGTATATACCATGAAAATGGCCTAAGACTTTTCCGACAACCTAATACATTATAACATCTACTTCTAGAGGTCTATAAAAGAAATGTTGTAATCTTTGTTTTCGCACTTTCAAGTCGCGACAACCACCAACCCTATAAATAACGTGTGAACTTGATTGGGATTCAATATTTTCAATACTATCAATATATTATTCAATCCTAAACTGAAGTTTGCATTCTATCAACGTATACCTCTTAGTGTTGCTTACTGAAGGTACTCGATTGCTAAAACGATTAAAAAAATAATAACGAGAAATAACAAATGTCACGGAATCAATACATTACTCAATTTTCAACACTGCTAGTCGTATTGCATGTAATACTTCGAACACACTGGCGGTGCAGAAAAGTGGTTGCCTCGTGAAGAGGTGAACGGTAAACAAATCTTCAGATCCAAAATCATCATAAATCGTGTGATTACATAAATTGCGGACCGAACGTCGATTCAGAAGAAACAAATGCACAAAATATGCATTCAGAACACTAAGAGTTGAAATTCAGGAATTTGTAGGGCATGCCGATATTGCCGCAGTTTGTGGCCACCCTGCATACTCAGCACAGTACAGAGCCTCCCACGAGGGAGTTCGTTTTCCAAATGGCTTCTCATCTGTTATAATTCATAGGATATTATAAAATTGAGAATACATACAGAACTTCAGCTGAGACAGCACAAAATTTGAATCCTCAAGATACATATTGCAACAAACATTTGTTTTCAGTTATATCATCAGCGCGATCATCAGCCCGACTTTCTCGAAAATCAACATCCTCAGAAATAGGAAGGTCAGTTGTTTTGCTTGTAGATTGAACTTTGTCTTTTTGACTCTTTTCAACTTGTTAGTTCGCCATGCATGGATAAATACCATCGGCAAAACTTTAGCTATGAAATCAGAGGTTACGCTGGACCCATTTTCAGAGGTCGAGATGTAGGTCACCAATGACTTCTATGAATTTCTAGCACAATGCAAAGTTTATGTCACGAACGCACCTCACCAGGAAAGGCATTCAACTTCCCATGGAACTTTGAGTTGAGACCCAGATATATCGATAGAGCTTCAAACGCTGATTACAAATATGGAAACTAAAACTGCAAAATGAACCTGCCAAGGAAGTTGTGAGCAGTCAAAGTTGGCTGGAAGTAAAGCATTACGTATTAACCGTGCTAGCCTCCGGGCTTTCAAAGTCGCCGTGGAGTAGTGGTAGTGCTCTCAAAATTTGCACTCCAACGGGAAGAGAACTTATGACCTCCAGGGTGAAGAGCGAGGGCACTACCACTACTCCGCGGCGACTCTGAAAGCCTGGGGCAGCACGGTTCATATGTAACGCTTTACTTAGCCAACTTTGACTGCTCACAACTTCCTTGGCAGGTTCATTTTGCAGTTTTAGTTTCCATATTTGTAATCAGCGTTTGAAGCTCTATCGATATATCTGGGTCTCAATTCAAAGTTCCATGGGAAGTTGAATGCCTTCCCTGGTAGTTCTGTTT